ATGCCCTTAAGTCAATACTGAGGTGAAAACATGGCTTTTGTCTCTCTTTTTCCAGTTTTCTTTTTGTACAAGTGTTTAGGATCTGTTTTGCTTGGTTTCCCGGCATTATTTTGTTTGATGTGAAGGCTTATATATTTTAAACGGTTTACCAATATCCAAATTTGTTGTACAAACCGAACTTCTGGCTTTGTTTTATTCTATGAAAATGTTATGATGAAACATGTGGATGTGGGTTAATCAGTCATCTAGTCCTTTAGTCGATGCTTTGAATCCATTATGTGAACTGCATGAGAAGAGATTGTCATTTTACTTTTGATGATCCATTTGCATTTATAAAAAATTTGACTTGTGGTTTCATCGCACCCCTTTGCTACTACAATGTTCTTTGAAGCGCTACTCCATTGTATTTTTCGGGTGTTTTGAAATATAATTTAATAATTATAATTATATATATATATATATATATTAAAACTTGAAGAGAGAGAAAGGGAGAGAGAGAGAGAGAGATCCATCTTACCTACAACTTAAAGAGGGGTTTAGTACCTAAATGATATGGAATCATCTATCCCTAAATTTAGGTCTTACACTTCTCTTTTTTTATAATGAGATTTTTTTGTTCAAAATCTCTATCTTTATTTTCCAAAATATTTACAGTTGTTAAATTATGTCTCAAAATTTGTATATAATTGAAAAATTCGGAGGGAGAAGATGTTTGGTCGTTATGTGGCACTTTCACTAAAAATAAATAATTTATCACATCATATGATGTGAAAGGGAGTGAGACAAGAAAACTTGTTTTTCAAATTTTGAATTATGAATATAAATAAAAAAGAAAAAGTGAAAAAATAAATTTTATTTTATTTACTTTTTTCGTAAATTACACTACCTTCCTTGACAAAATACAATAAGTTATACAAATTTAACATAATAATTCCAGAGACGTCCTAAGAAACACTTTGGTGATTATTGAATTTTACACATGTTGTGAGTCCCTAGCACAGTGTTATGTGTAAAATTTAATAAAATTTTCACACCTTAAAAGAATGTGAATTGGAATGTATAGCATATTCTTTTACTTATTAGTAAGAGCGTCCCTAATGGTAGTTGTCAAAATAGCATTGCCATTGTTATAATTTAATAATGAATAGTTCTATTTTACCAAATCATAGCAGCGATACTCTAATGGTCCTATGCTATTTTAGAAATTAACCAACTTTCATTCCAAATTTGTAGGTGTTGTTTAGATATAGATTTTTTAGTATTTTTTTTGTTTATTTTATTTTAATCTTTTGTGACCTTTTTTTCAACTGTTTATAAAAAAAATTATATATTTACACTAAACCTCACTAGACAGATATAAAAAATGAAAAAAAAAAAAAAAATTTCCAAAAAAATTTTAAGTATAATTCACCTGTAAATTTAAATATAAAATACTCAAAATTATATTAAAAAATAAATGATATTGCAAAATTAAAAAATACATTCTCCTGTAATTATTCATCAGGAGAAAAAAGAAAAATAGCAATTTGGGTTGTTGGCATATGCCGACCACTTGACGAAAATCTCATTTTTGCGCATTATGTAATACGCTTTCGTCTGAGAGCCTAAGTGAGAAATGCCCGTAGTCATTATTAAATGTTCTTCATTTTTTATCTATAGTTCTTTCATCTCTTGCAAATGTTCTTCCTTTTTGATCTCTAGTTCTTTTATCTTCTACAATACTTGAATTCTTTTTTATTCTCTTTCAACTTTTTTCATTTCCTTTTCAGCAAAGTGTTGGTTAAATGTCTCCAACAAATTGTTATATTTGTTGACTTCAGCTTGAACAGCTTCACTTTTTTGAAGCAATTCTTTTGCAGATTTCTTACTCATAGGCCTTTTACCCTTTACAAAAATACTACATTCACCGATTGGATTATTACTAACAGTTAGATTGTTACTAACACTTAGACTATTGTCGTCTTCAAGAGAAATGTAGTTATCCATACTTATCTGTAGGGGATTCGGGGGCTGAATTAGGGGAAAATAGTGTATTTATCATTGACTTCACTGTGTTTGTAAGAGTTACATCTTGCCACCTGATATTGTTTTGCAAGATTGGCTAACAATGTTCAAAAGCAAAATGTTTGTTTTCATCTTGATGGTATAAAAGTTTTGCTTAAAGCATCTATATCAATAAAAAATTAAATTAATTAATTAGTTAATTTTTATATGAGACAAAATAAAAAAACTAACATAATAAATGAAAATGAAATATTACTATATCAACTTGAGACATTCCACTTGGGTGTAAATTTTTGACTTGCGCTAAACACCCACGAAATTTGTTGCAACATTTCATGATTACATCACATCAAGATGAGATAGAAACTTGTGTTTTTGAGTGAAACACTACAACAAATTACACTTTTGGCGACTAAATTTTTAGTCGCCAAAAGTCATATTTTACTCGCCAAAAAGTTTTGCCGACTAAACTTTTTGGTCGCTAGCTTTGTCGCTAGATGATTGTCGGGAAAGGTATTGGCGACTAAAAATTATTTAGTCGCTGAAAGTCTTCAATTGGCTACTAATGTTTTAGTTGTCAAAAGTTTTCAATTGGAGACTAAAAATTATTTAGTCACTGAAAGTATTCAGTCGCCAAAAGTTCATAATAAATTTAACATTATATTTTCAGCAACTAAAATTTTTTGTCGCAAAAAACTTAACCATTTAGGGCGACCAAACTTTTAGTCGCTAATTTTCTTTTTTCATTCATCGTATTTCGTTTAGCTACTAAATGGTTTAGTCACGTAAAGTCTAGTTTTTTATTTAGCTACTAAAGTTTTAATTGCCAAAAATGTTTTTTCTTTCCTTTATTTATTTTTGACTACTAAATCGTTAGTCGTCTAAAGTCTTTTGTTTATGGCTACTGCATATTTAGTCGTCAAAAGATTTGTTTTCATTTAAATCTTTTTTTAGCTACTAACTATTTAGTCGCTAAAAATATTTATTCCATTTTTGGCTACCAATTGTTTAGTAGCCAAATACATCATTTTACGTTTTTTTTTAAAATTAATTTGTCCACAACCTGTATGCATCCCATGCAACCTATAATAGGTATACAAACAAAACAATACATATATATTATCACCCATTCCACAATAAGCATCTATTTCACTTACAACCATCCAAATAAAAGAATAACTTTTAATGCCAACATTGCATACAAACCAAGTATATTCCAACTTAACACAATAATTTCATACAAAACCAATAATGATACAAGCTACCAGTGACACCCATACACCAGCTATATATAAAATCAAAAGACTTGAAAAATTCACTAGAATAAGTCAACCTCAACAAGAGCAATCATAGCTGCAACCATCATTATAAAAGCATTCGTAGCATTTACAGTGGGAGTCCCCCATTACCATGGATGTGGAAACCTTATCCTGCATGTTGAGAAGTAATAGAATCTCTTATAATATGTCATGACCCGAACCCGCCCTCTAAAAGTTTGGGTCATAACCGACCAGTAATCCGTAATTACCGAAGGCCTCAACGATCATACAGAATATTTATGCTAATGGGGTCATAAACGGAAGCATATAATAAAGAGAAGTCCATTGAGTTGTGCCAATCATGAGAAAAATTACAAAGTTAACCACATAACACAATAATACATATACATGCCTATCAAAAATATAAGTGCCACAAGAAATTTACACATATTATTTACAAACCCAAGACCATAATGGCAAAAGCAAAATAAGGTCAAGGTGTGGTGTGAGTTAAAGACAAACTCCATTTCAGAGGCATGACTCGATTGGGTCACAAAATAGCTCCTGAAGCTGACTCTAGGGATGTCCTCTATGCTGTTGATCACCTACATGCGCATACATAATATTGGGTGAGCGAAGCTTAATGAGTAATAATACAGTAAAACAGTGTAATATAGGTGATCATAAGATTCTCACAATGTCCATATTCATATATTCAAAATGGTCTTAGGCCCAATCACATAATAAGCGGCCTCGAGCCCAATAATGTAACAAGCGGTCTCGGGCCCAATTATTTAACAAGTGGCCTCGGGCCCAATCATATAACAAGCGATCTCGGGCCCAATTATTTAACAAGCGGCCTCGGGCCCAATCATATAATAAGCGGCCTTGGGCCCAGTTATTTAACAAGCGGCCTCGGGCCCAACATATAACAAGCGGCCTCGGGTCCAAGTATTTAACATGCGGCCTCGAGCCCAATCATATAGCAAGCGGCCTCGGGCCCAATTATTTAAGTATGTATGGACCCAAAAGGTGACTCGTATGAACTCTAAAGGTGGCTCCCACTGTAGCACTTAGTTCTATACAGCACTTTGTTCCATACCAGAAATCAATAGGTCTTAAAGACTAAACAATTCATATAATGTCATAGCATAAACGAAACGGATAAACAGAACAACCTTGGCCCACCATATCATATTACAAACAATTCACATTTCTTGTTCATAACTCATTTCACATTTCTTAGAAACTTGTGCATTTTGACAAAATACGATATTTAGAAGATCATGTTGTACATAAATCAAAATAGATAATGAAAACATATCACTACTATACTATTACTCACAGTGGTATCCAGAAATAGTTGATCGCTCCTCGAATCATGACCTGCAAACACAATGCGCGTGACACAACATATTGGAACATGGAATTACTTTCTTGTCAAATTTACTGCTCTTAATCTTTTCTTAACCAAATAAATCAATCCCTTACTTTGCTCCTTAACCAATTATTTTTGTTGGTTCCAAACTCATTAGTCCTCAATGGGTCGTAATCCGTGTCTAGGAAAATAGGAAGAAACGAAAGGAAACTGGGTTAGGAGAGGAAATAGCATGAAACGGTTAGAAAGAAAGTGAACAACCTTCACTAATTTGAACATATCTATTTGTGTATTTAGAATTTGGATGTGAGACCACACCATTGGAAACTAGACTTCCGGGGCTTGAATTTAGGCTCAAGAATCATCTAAAAACAAAGTCCGGATGAAAGAGATATACCTTTTTGAAGTTGGGCTGAAACAGGGGTTCTACACGTGCGGAAGTCTTCACCGCTCGTGCGGCCCAAATCCGGTCGAGCGGAAAAATCGGCCGCTCAAGCGCCCAAGGAACAGAATGAAAACTTCTTTTTTTTCTTCACGTTCTGCTCGTGCGGTGCCCGTGGCCACTCGTGCGGTTTGGGCAAAATCAGACAGTCCGAAAATGGTTCAAAGATGCGAACTTCCGAAACTCATTTCCAAGCCCAAATTCATGTAAAAACAACTCAAAAACATGATACAAGTGTAATCCCTCATTAAAAATATCAATCTTGCATCAACAACAATCTCATGGTCCCATCTTTTCACAATTTCATACATTACATAAACAAATTCAAAATTCAAAATACATGATCCATGAGCAATCTTTCAACAAATCTTGTTTTCATGAATTATCTAAGGTTTGTTTCATACATTATTCACAAGATTGAACTCCAATCATGCAAAATCAAAACATTTAAGTTCCAATTTCATAGTTTAGCTCAAATAAACACACAACCCAAAACGCTAACCCAAAAGGGTTTCAAATCTTCAAATCTCTATATGTTTTCAAGCAATAGATGAGTTATATACAAGAATTCCAAGTAAATTTCCATACCTTAGCTCAAATCTAGGGTTTGCCCCTTGAATCTCTACCAAATCTCTAACTTCTCCTCTTCTTCTCTCTCTAACTCACCCTCTAGCAAAGCTCTCCCCAAAAAAATGATGAACTCAAGAACTAGAGAAATATGTATAATATAGGCTAATTAAAAATTACAAATTGTAATTTTACGAAATTTCACCGTAGACTCTAAAAATCATGCTAATCACAAATATGAAGTCGGTTTTGGTCTATCACGCCTCTAAGACTTTCAATTTCCAGTTCAAAGTTCTAATTGCAATAGATTTTCCTACATTCAACAAATATAAAATTCAAAATCACATAATTCATATACATAACTTGCAAATTTATATTAAACACATAAACATGTGTATAATTAAGCATAATACGGGTTGGGTTATCACATAACAAATGAAGCATAAAACCAAAGTTGACAGGAGAAAATCATTTGCAGTTCTTAAATAATGTTCATGTTCCCCAAGAGCATGATATGAAACAGATCATTCATCTTTTGACGTTAGAATTATGCATGTAAAACCTTGACCAAATGCAGAATGAAGAAAAATAGTGGAAGTTAAATAAAGGGACACTTACCAATCAATCGTATTAGTCCCAAAAGTAGAACCTATTGGTAATTAGTCCCAAAAGTAGAACCTATTGGTAATTAGTCCTAAAAGAAGGACCTATTGGTAAATTACCATTAAATAAATTAGAAAGTCAGAAATCAAGAATATTGTGCTTCAAATTCCAAAATTTAAGACTAGCTTAAGGTGTTGTAGTACTAAAAGAAGAAGGAGAAGTACAAAGAAACAAAGAGAGAGCACTTTCTGAGATGTAATGCTAGTTTCGACAATTATCATATTCATAACATAACTTTAGCCAACAAGTTAATTTTCAGCCAAATCTTATTTGATGATAATAGAAGTAGATACACAGAGAGTGAACAACACAACCAATACCTCTAGTAACGGCTTTTCTACCCTATATTAGTATTGGTACCATCACTCCTGCTCCAATTGTTTCCTTTTCTTTTTTTCCTTTTTTTTTTTTAATTTGGAGAAACTTAGATGCATGGAGGAAAAAATAAACAACAAACAAAACATTTTAATAAACCACACACAACAACAAAAACACATAAAAAGAAGGAAATTATTCAGTTTTATTCCTTCACACATTTGGTTACTGCAGCAAAGACAGATTAGTACAAAATTAATCGTACAAGAAATTTTGTTAATACCACTTTACAGGCCTTATTAACACTGAAGAGAGTTTATTATTTTTTTTGAAAAACACAAGTCTTGAAGTTACTAAATGTTAGATTCCTAGTGCCCACATTACAAAACAACTTGACATGAAATCCATTAACACATGCCTAGATATCCTTGATTCATAGAACTGAATGAGCATTTTAAGTTTTTAGTAGCCAGGCAATATCAACTAGAATAATTGAAAATACTTCTTAGCATACACTGACCATGCCATAACTTACTGTCAAATTGGGTTTTAGGAACCAAAATACTAAACTGAAAAATAGAAACAAAATCAAAATTCAACCTAATGTACCATTAAGAGTAATGACAATGCATCAAGAGCAGTTTTAAGAAGAATAATGCTTCTAACAAAAAATCAACCTAATGTACCTTTAAGAATAATATTCATTATTTTGTAAAAAATGCACATGTAGAGTGCATGACCTTTCCAACTACTGCTTACAGTACACTAGAGTGGATGGAATGCAGTATACAAAGATGCAGTACGTCCACTTTATGTGCTGATCTTTTATGAATTTGTGATGTGAAACTGCTGGAGATATATTGATTCTTCTTCTGTTTAGTTTATTTTTTGAATGATGTGAATTATCTTTCTCTTCCTAGATACATTTTTCATGGAATTACATACTATGTTCCTTTCCTTGTTAATATAACTGCAGTGTCGCACTTGTTGTGGACAATCCTGAATTGTTCAATCGGATTGCAAAAACATTATGTTCCCTGGTAGCTACAAAATTCGTCATACTACTTTGGGGGGAGAAATCAAGCCCGATTAGCAAAGTGCTGGAGGGATTGTCTGTTTACAATTACAAGGAGATCATAGATTTGGAATGTGAGAGTCGTATGCTTTTGCTTGAGTCTCATGATGCTAGTAAGTTAATCTACAATAGGCTTAATAAATTAAAATTTTCTTTTGCTATAGAACACTTCCTTGTGTTATTACTTGTGAACTCTTTATTTTCTAATAATTTGTTTTAATTTTTATAAAGGCAAAATAATGGAGGGATGAATTTGGTTATAGTTTAACTTGTATTAATTGAATGCATATGAAGGTTTATTTAGTGAAACATAATATTTTTACATTTCTTTCAGAGATAATTGTTTGCATGTTTATATCTGCAAACTTATTTTTTACTAGCTATATTAAATTATGTAATTTAATTTCAGGGCAGCACTATACTTATGAAGACATCAGCTCTGATGATGTTGCTACACTTGTATACACTAGCGGAACTACTGGCAATCCAAAAGGTGTTATGCTTACACATAAGAATCTGTTGCACCAGGTCTGAGTGTTTTCTACTTTTTAAAAGTTCTCTTAACATTTTTGCTTGAGGTTTGTCTTCTGATGGAAATCTCTAACTTATTTAAGAAAATTAAAGGCTGGAGTTTCTGTTTTTTTTTTCCCCCTCTCCAAGTGGATATATGAATTTCTGAACTTTTTCCTGCAATATTCATCCAAATGGAAAATGATGTTTTTTCCTTTATCATTGTGCCACCCATTTGTATGGTGTACTGTGTTATCTATGGGGTAGCATATCTGACCCGAAATGCAATTTTTTGTATTCTCCTACTCATGGTATTTTTACCCAAATTTCAATTTGTATTCATTCCCCATTACTTCCAGTAACCAAACAAATCAAACTAAAATGTTATGGAATAAGACCCAAATAATTATTAAAGAAAGAAAATTAGAGGGTTTTTAAAACCAAACCAGGTCAAAAGAACTTCAGCAACATCCTTTTGTCAATCAAACACCACCCATTTTTTCTGAAACCCAATTAAACTTTTTGGCCCTTGGTAGGAAAAAGAAGGAGAAATAGAAAATCGAGATAGATATAGAGGTCAACCAATGAAAAAAATTAATTAATAGTACTGAATAAAAATTTGAGACAAATTGATTGATTGAATAGCAAAGCAGAGCAGTGAAGTGAGAGTAACATTTGGTATCACTATGATGCAGCAAACCTCAAATAATTCAGACATTCCAAGAGCAAAAATATTTAGGGCTTTGAGACTAATGAGAGAGAAAGGAAAAGAGGGGAAAATGTATCAAACCACTTAAATCAAACATATTTACCACATCAAACCCATAAAACTCTAGAAATTAAACCACTTAAACAAAACTCATTTTAGAAATCAACATGAAATTTGACTTGGTAAATCATATAAAACCCTAGAGCAAGAGTAAGAATGAGGGAAACAAAAGAAGGGAGAGGGAGAGAAAGAGAGAGAGAGAGATAGAAACAAAGACATAGAGATAGAGAGCGAGAAAGACAGACAGAGAGTGAGCGAGAATGAGAGCGAGAGAGAGAGAAACAGAGAAGGGAGAAGGATAAAGAACCTATTCGTATTGCGGTGGCGGCGGTGGCGGTGGCGATTTGCGGCGATGGTGATGTGCGACAGATGTCAGCAACAGTAGTGAGGGACTTCGATGAAAGGAGAAGAGGTGAGATTCTCTGTGTGAGAGAGAGACAGTGGAAATGGTGTAAATATATGGGTGCGTATTGTTGGGGTATATCTCCTTATTGGAGTTTGAGACCTAATTGATTTTGGAAAAAATTTTTTTAATTTGGTTTGGTTTAGGTATAATATATTTTAATATATTATATCTAATTTTTAGAGACCCAATTCAATTTGGATACAATTAGAGTTTGATAAAACAAACTCAAGACCCAACCATATATATATATATATTGATCCGAAGTGTAACATAGAGAGGTACGATTTTTTCAATCATCTTGGTGACCGTGTGTGTTGATGTTCAATTGGGTGCGTGGTCAGTTCTTTGGATTTGATTTGTTGATGCTTTGCTATCTTTGATTCAAACCTGATTTGGTTTGTTATTTTGGATCTTCTACAACTCTGTTTCGGAAGGTTTTGGTTCATCTATTTGGCGAGGTCTTTCCTCTTGTGTATTTGTGATTATTTGGAATTCACCTAAGGGTGGTTTGTGAGACCATTCGTGTCTCGTTTGTAATCGTTTGGAAAATTATTTGGTTGATAGTGGAATCGGATTTCGATCCTGTGGACGTACCTCACATTGAGGGAACCACGTAAAAATTCTTGTGTTGTTTTTGATTTAATTTTTCCGCATTAGTTTTTATTCCCATTGATTGATTTACTTGCGGGGAATCACAAACAATTGGTATCAGAGCTTACAGTTTATTTAGGTTTATTTATTTGTGTAAATCAATGGAGGGGGATGTGGGTCGCATGTCTAGCTTCAATAGAAGTAATTGGGTAACTTGGAAAACTAAAATGGAGGACCTATTATTTTGTAAAGATTTGTATGGACCCATTGAGGGTGACAGTGGCAAACCCGAGAGTATGAAAGATGATGAATAGAATAGGCTTAATCGAAAAGCCGTTGGTGTTATCCGTCAATGGATTGATAGCAGTGTGTTTCATCATGTTCCTACTGAAACTTCAGCACATGATTTATGGAAAAAATTAGAAGGCCTTTATGATAGGAAATTAGCCACAAATAAAGCCTTTCTGTTTCGTAAGTTGGTTAATTTAAAATATAAAGATGGTAGCCCTATTCCAGAACATTTGAATGAAATAAAGAGTATTGTTAACCAACTTGCTTCTATGAAAATTATTTTTGATGATGAGTTACAGGTTTTGATGCTACTTGGTTCTTTGCCCGAAAGTTGGGAGACTTTGGTTGTGACAGTTAGTAATTCGGCACCTGATGGAGTTGTCACAATGGGCCAAGTCGCTAGTAGCTTGTTGAATGAAGAAACTAGAAGAAAATCAGTTGGTTCCTCTTATTCGGAAGCATTTGTTGTGAGAGGCTAAAGCAAAACAAGGGGGAGGAGTAAGACTCTTCATGGTCGTGATCAAAGCCATGACAAATCAAGAGATGGTTCTTTTTCAAAGAAAGACATTGAGTGTTATTATTGCCATGAGAAATGACACATAAAGCGAGAATGCCGAAAGCTTAAGAATAAGGAGAAAAGGCGTGACAAAAGTGTGGATAAAAAGCAAGAAGACACAATGGCAGTTACTACTGATGATCTCATGGTCGTTTGTGAAGATGATTGTATCAATTTTATGGTCCAAGAGAGCAATTGGGTGATTGATTCCGGTGCTTCTTTTCATGTGACTTCTCGAGTTGATTTCTTCACTACCTACACCGAAGGAGATTATGGTTTTGTTCGAATGGGTAATGAAGGTTTGTCCAAGATTATCGATATGGGTGATGTTTGCCTGGAAACAAATTTGGGCTGCAAGTTGTTGCTTAAAGATGTGAGGCATGTTCCCGACATTCGCCTCAATTTGAGCTCTACTGGGAAGCTAGATGATGAAGGCTTCAACAACAAATTTGGTGATGGAATATGGAAGCTCACAAAGGGTTCTTTGGTGGTGGCCAAGTGCAAGAAGACTCATACACTTTATTCAATGCAAGGAAAAATTTGTAAAGGTGTTGTCAATGCACTGAAAGATGATATTTCTACTGAATTGTGGCACAAGCGGCTTGGCCATATGAGTGAAAATGGGCTACAAGTTTTGTTCAAGAAAGAGCTTCTACCCGATTTGAAAGGTACACATCTTAAAACTTGTGTTCATTGTTTGGCGGGTAATCAACATAGAGTTTCTTTTCATAAAAATGTTTCTTGTAGAAAAGAAAATGTTTTGGAGTTGATTCATTCGGATGTTTGTGGCCTTTTGAAAGTTAGAAGACATAGTGGTGCACTTTATTTTGTTACTTTCATTGATGATTATTCAAGGAAAGTTTGGGCTTTTATACTAAAAACTAAAGATCAAGTTCTAGAAGTATTTAAGCATTTTCAGGCCATGGTTGAAAAAGAAACATGGCAGAAATTGAAGTGCATCCAATCAGACAATGGTGGTGAATACATTAGGCCATTTGATGAGTATTGTCGCAGCCAAGGTATTCGGCACCAAAAGACAGTTAGAAAGACTCCTTAACAAAATGGCGTTGCCGAGAGGATGAACCGCACCATTGTGGAAAGAAGAAAGTGTTTGTTTTCACAAGCTAAATTGCCAAGATCCTTTTGGGATGAGGCAATGAGGACAGCGGTTGACGTGATCAATTTGTCTCCTTCCTATCCTTTGAATGGTGATGTTTTAGAAAGAGTTTGGACCGGTAAATATGTGTCTTATGAGTACTTAAGAGTGTTTGGTTGCCGAGCTTTTGTTCACATTCCAAAGGATGAGAGGTCCAAGCTTGATAGTAAATCAAGACAATGTATTTTTCTTGACTATGGGTGTGATGAATTCAGGTATAGATTGTAGGATCCGGTCGACAAGAAAGTCATTCGAAGCCGTGATGTTGTGTTTCTTGAAGACTAAACAATTGAAGACTTTGGCAAAGGCGATCAACCGGAGCCAAAAACTAGCGATCTCATTGACATTGATCTATCTCCTTCGTCTTTAGTGGATATTGAAAATGGGGGAGATGTGCAGCCACTTATTGAAGATACAGAGGATGATACTAATCCTAATGAACTTGAGCTAGAAATTCAGGAAGAGCATCCAACTCAAGAACTGCCACCATAACTGGAGTTGAGGAAATCTACAAGGGGCCGACAACCTTCAAGAAAGTATCCTCCCAATGAGTTTGTGTTGATTTCCGATCAAGGGGAGCCTGAGAGCTACCAAGAAGCAATTGAGCATGCAAAGAAAGATGATTAGAAAAAGGCAATGGAAGAGGAGATGAATTCCATACTTGAAAATCACACTTATGATTTAGTGAAGTTGCCTAAGGGAGGAAAATTTTGAAAAATAAGTGGGTCTTCAAATTGAAGAATGATGGCAAGAATCTGAGGTACAAGGCACGTCTTGTTGTGAAAGGCTTTGGGCAAAAGAAAGGCATTGACTTTGATGAGATTTTCTCGTCGGTTGTGAAGATGTCTTCTATTTGGGTTGTACTTGGCATGGCTGCAAATATGAACCTTGAAGTTGAGCAACTTGATGTGAAGACCGCATTTCTTCACAGTGATCTTGAAGAAGAAATTTACATGGAGCAACCAGAAGGTTTTGTAGAGAAAGGGAAAGAAAAATTTGTTTGCAAATTGAAGAAAAGTTTGTATGGCCTCAAGCAAGCCCCGCGGCAATGGTACAAAAAATTTGACTCTTTCATGATGAATAATGGTTTCACAAAGCTCAAACGTTTGGAGGTTCTTTAGATGCTGGATGCCTGATGGGACCTCCTCCATCAATTCACTATTTCTGATACTTAGACCTTCAAGGTGGGGCATTGCTCCCTCCTCCACTCTCACCCATCTCAATCCTTTTAATTTATAAAGATGTAAATGTTTAAGCCTCTGAAATCCTCCTGCCTTGAAACACAGTCCCTCCCCTTCGTATGCCTGCTCAAGTATAAGCTTAGCCAAATTGGGTAATTCTTGTGAGCAAGGATCCTCTAGAGTTATTTTTTCCTAAAGTTTCCTAGAGTGCTACATTGTGTGGTTGAGATTTACTGGCAAGTCACGTCAATTTTTCTGATGTGACTTGCCAGTAAATCTCAACCACACAATGTAGCACTCTAGGAAACTTTAGGAAAATTTCACTCTAGAGGATCCTTGGTGGTGAGAGACTGTCTAAATTGGACCGGCAGCGGTAAAATGGATTCTAAGATATCTTCGAGGGACTTCGAAGGTGTGTTTGTGTTTTGGGGATGGTAAGCCGATGCTTGATGGATTCACAGATTCTGACATGGCCGGTGACATTGATTCTAGGAAATCTACTTTGGGGTATTTGATGACTTTTGCAGGGGGAGCTGTGGCATGACAATCTAAATTACAAAAATGTGTTGCTCTTTCAACTACCGAAGCTGAATTTATTTGCATTACGGAAGTTTGTAAAGAAGAGTTATGGTTGAAGAAATTTTTACAAGAGTTGGGTTTGAAACAAGAAAAGTATGTGCTTTATTGTGATAGTCAACGTGCTATTCACTTGAGTAAAAATTATACTTTTCATTCGAGATCGAAACACATTGATGTGAGATACCATTGGATTCGTGATGTGTTAGATTCGAAATTGTTGCAACTCAAAAAGGTTCACACAGATTATAATATTTCGGATATGTTGACAAAGACTTTGTCGAGGGACAAACATTTAAAGTGTTGAACTTTGGCGGGTATGGTTGATGGCTCCACCTAAGTCGATAGGGGGAGAATTGTTGGGGTATATCTCCTTATTGGAGTTTGAGACCCAATTGGTTTTGGAAAAAGAATTTTAATTTGGTTTGGTTTAGGTATAATATATTTTAATATATTATATCTAATTTTTAGAGACCCAATTCAATTTGGATACAATTAGAGTTTGATAAAACAAACTCAAGAACCAACCATATATATATATATATTGATCCGAAGTGCAACATAGAGA